AAAATCATCGCTGTGGGTGCAAACATTTCCTTGGGCAAATGCCACATTCTTAAACACGCCAAGAAATAAAATATCTGGCAGAAATCAAAAACGACCCTAAGATGGAGCAAATTAAAGTGTTCAAAGAACGCTAACAAATCCAAGTTCGGATAAATTATCGTCAAACGTTTCTGCCAAAATTGCTTTCTTCTTGCTGTAACTTGAGCAGTGAGTGGAGTCCTTCCTTTGCCCCACTAGACATCACTGTGATCTTGAAAATGCACCTATCTAGAACATGGCAGACCGACTGATGTACGAAGCAAATAGAGGCATCATGCTGCCATCTTTTCAGAACAGAGTATCGATGACATGGACCAACTGACGCCGCTTCCTGGTGAAAGAAAACCAAATGATGTAATTTCAAGAATCAACGCTCATAAAAGTAATCGCCATACACGAACTTTATGTCAAAGAGAGAAAAATTCCATTGCCTAAAAGGACCAAGCTAGTTTCTATTAAAAATTTTAAGGGATGGATATTTAATAAGTTCTAAAACAGGTCATTAGCTTTAAAATATTTTTACCGAATTAGAATTTGAAATTGTCTCTCACAGACCAAATGTACTTTCAAATTATTGCATTATCAAATCATACCAATTTGTCCCAGAGGATGGCACTACTTGCAATGGATTTAAATTGTAGTAGCGAAATTGGGCTGTCTGATGCATTTCAACAGGATGATGAAAGAATCACTAACTTTAACCTATGCCAAATGGTTACTACATGTAAAGCACTACATGACCTGAAAACAGAAGTCCTGCTAGTGCCTGGTACACTTGTTACATTGTAAAACCATGACTTGCAGACCTGCAATTTCTGATCCAAAGAATACCTGCTTTGCTATTGGCACACTCTAATAGTCCTCAATCCAATCCATAATTTCAAAATTTTTGTCTTTAGGCATCATTTCAAAATTCCTATCGGTTGACTTTAGGACAGGGCCATCCGACCGATAACAGTGACTTGTGTCGAGTGAATCATGGATGGGGTGTTCCAGTGCTCCACTGAAACCACATAACCTTGGAAGTAATATAATAAAAAGGCATTTATCAGTTAGAATCCGCCACTTGAGAACACTTCACCTGATAGCCAACATAATAAATGTACTGGTCAGACCGTTCAGTCCGACGCCTACCAGATAAGAATTTTGAAACGGTGCCTTAGCTAATTATCATAAAAATTACTTTGTGAGTCATAAATGAGGCATTANTTAATATACATTGGGTAAGGGCAAACCGTTATATATAAAGAACAAATGTACTTTCAAATTATCGCATTATCAAATCATACCAAATTGTCCCAGAGGATGGCACTATTTGCAATGGATTGATATTGTAGTAGCGAAATTGGGCTGTCTGCTGCATTTCAACAGGATGATGAAAGAATCACTAACTTTAACCTTTGCCAAATGGTTACTACATGTAAGCACTACATGACCTGAAAACAGAAGTCCTGCTAGTGCCTGGTACACTTGTTACATTGTAAAACCATGACTTGCAGACCTGCAATTTCTGATCCAAAGTATACCTGCTTTGCTATTGGCACACTCTAATCGTCCTCAATCCAATCCATAATTTCAATATTTTTGTCTTCAGGCATCATTTCAAAATTCCTATCGGTTGACTACAGGACAGGGCCATCTGACCGATAACAGTGACTTGTGTCGAGTGAATCATGGACGGGGTGTTCCAGTGCTCCACTGAAACCACATAACCTTGGAAGTAATATAATAAAAAGGCATTTATCAGTTAGAATCGGCCACTTGAGAACACTTCACCTGATAGCCAACATAATAAATGTACTGGTCAGACCGTTCTGTCCGACACCTACCTGATAAGAATTTTGAAACGGTGCCTTAGCTAATTATCATAAAAATTACTTTGTGAGTCATAAATGAAGCATAA